AATTAATAGATTTTGAAACCGACATATTACATTTTTTAAACCGACATTATTACTATATTTAGTCGTTACATGTCTGTGAATAGAAGTCCCTATTTCTTTTATAAACGTAATAATAATCTATAATTTTCCTGTTTTTATTTTACAGTGAAATTAAGGTCTGCTAGGTCAGTTACCAAAACTTCTTACTAAAGTGAAGAAGCCTCCCACCAGGAATCGAGCCTGTATTCCGTTTGTAATCTGGAAAACAACTTTGAAGCCAGCAGATAATCTGTTAATATCTGTTTAAGATATATAAACATCGATAGGATCGAAAGAGATATATGCATTTCTTAAGTAGGGTAACCGAGATTTCTTTTGCTGTGATGGCTTTCAGTAAGTAGATGCTAAAGCATGAGCGGTTTTGAAGTGTCCTCCGTTTAAAAATGGAATACGGGTTCGATCCTTGTGGGCAGGCACAGTTTCTTTAATAAAGCTATCGATCTCTAAGCAGGTAGACATTAATTCCAATGTTTAAAAATAACAAGGACGTTGTAGTGAAAGAGAGAATCACCTACCTCGAAGAAGAGTTTGTGTTTTATGTGCAATCTGCCAAAGAAGGATTAAAGAAAAAGTAGTTAGCAAAAATCTGCTACTTTAAGGATCAGAATCTATGCTAATGTTCTTTGCCCTCAGTGAATGGCATGGCCAATCAGAAAAATTGCTCAGAGAATAAAAGCCGTTTTTTTTTTTTTGCTTACGAGTGTAGGATTTTTTCTGAGCTTGGTGGACGTACATGCATTTTTGGCGCTGAGAAATGAAGGTTGGATTTGTGACCCCATTTTGTCGTTCTACGTTGCCTGTTGGACTGTTACGACGGACTCTCGTTTGAACGGTGACTTGGCTATAAATGTTACGGTCGAGAGACAGAAGAAACTTATTGCAGGCAATTATTGCAATTTTTTTCTTTTCTTTACCACAACAGATGTCTACTCAGACACATCTACTCACTAAATATGACGTTTACTCTAATAAGAAACACAAACAAAATAATATATATATATATATATATATATATATATATATATATATATATATATATATATATAATATTCAGGTCATAATTTATTCTATTGGAATCATAAATACGATCCATTCATTAGACCTACAAATTCAAAATTTGTAGGTCTGATGAATTGGCTCGTATTTACGATTCCAATGGAATAAATTATGACCATGGAATATTAGTGTTTAAGCCTTTTTATTATATCCTTACTCTGTCCTAGACATTGAGTTCTACCTGGATTCTATTCTTTTGGAATTTTTATTAAAAAAATATACATGTATGTGTATGCACCTATGTATATATATTTATATATTTTGCATATTTATGTGTATATTTACCACTAATATTAGCTATATATATATATATATGTGTGTGTGTGTTTCTGCGTGTTATCCACAGAGAAAGTGTTTCGCTATATCACAGGTCATCTGATCGTTTATATATATATATATATATATATATATATATATATATATATATATATATATATATATATATATATATATATATATTGAGGAATCGCAGAGCTGATTTTCGAATTCCAGTGGAATCCATTACATTCACTTACGTGCTAATACCCTTGAGAAAGGTATGAATCCTCTTCCTCTTCCTCCAGCTATGGGTAAAATAGCAGGACAGACTGGGTTCTATTGCCTTGGATGGCAACTGGTCTAGGAGAAGGACAACTCTGAATTCAAAACCTACGGAGGGTCGTTTGGGAACCTTGTGGCATTCGGTGCACCAGGTCTCTGTATTCGTCCCTTCAAAATGTGTGGATGGTCCTGCACGAAACCTTCACCACTAATAATCAAATGTCGGGCTGTCGGCCGGTGATCTGTTTGACCCTCATACGTCGAATTTCGACTGGGAGAATCGATTATATAACTGATTATTTTTTAAAAAAATCATAACGTAAGTATGTTATAAAATCACTACAAAAATAATTTCAACACCTCTGTGTCTTATCAAGTGATGGTGTTGAAAGAAAAAAAAAATATATATATTTAGAATATATATATATATATTATATATACTTTTATATATTTTATATATATATATATATATATATATATATATATATATATATATATATATATAATTGTGCAAATTAATTGAAGCAACTGCTTTAATTTCCTTTCTTTCACTGTACGGTCAGTTTTAGATCTTCTGGGGGTGACATGGTGTAATCGATTTCTAATTTTTCTCAGATTAGGTCATTTGCAGTGGTGTGCGGTAATATGGATCTATTTTCGGGGTGTATGATGAAATTTGTTTGTCATTGTAAAATATTGCGTCATCCGTAACTACATCAGATTTTCGTCACGCCCTCAGACACTACTGTCTCGACTTTCGATTAGTTGTCCTACGGCCATTGACGTTGCCCCCAGGAAGCGTACGAAAATTGTAACGCTGAACGAAAACACTAGCAAGCCTTACCAGTGGGTAAATACTAAAGACTGGCCCGAAAACTCTCCTGATTTAAATTCAATCGAGAATCTGTGGTCAATCTGCAAGTAACAACTTCGTAGAAGACATACGAAGTACTAACATGTGCACTGGGCCATATTTTATTGGAAAAATCCTGGGTAACATGAAAAATATAAGCTGAAATACGAAGTAAATTTTATGACCTCTCCTGTATTTAAGATGAATCCTTTTTCTAATAAATGTATTATTCTAAATGGACAAGCGATTTAAATTCGAAATTTGACTCATCATAAAAAAAACAAACTATCTTTTAAATAAATTAAACTTATATTTGTTTTTATATTTCTGCTCAAGTGACATTACTTTCTGAACGCCCTAATATTTATTCCAGAGATTTCGAGATGCGAATATTTTTGTAAAAAAATTAACGAAAAGAGTCATTAAGATGTCATATCCACTCATTCCATTTAGCACTTGTCACTTCATCGTAAACAAAAAGAATGACAAAGATCGAAATGCCAATTTCAATCGAGGTCTCTTTCTTTTTTTTTCTTCTCTACAACTTACCTCCTTCAAACTATGTCCTATGTGACAGAAAATAGACACATAAACGATGACAAGGAATTTTCTCGTCAAGCGTTTTTTTTTTAAACATATCAAATTTCATTTTCACGTACAAGACAATTTAAAATGTCTGCGCTTACGCGAAAAAAGCAAAGTAAATTAAAAATGATAGATTTTTAGAAAGTTGAAAATGAATTTATGAATCAAATGGAAGAATAAATGTTAGAGATTAACCGGAAAATGGAACGGAAATAAAATTGAATCAATGATTTCCCAAAATCTATCATCGATTTGTCACACCTAATTTTTTTAAATGATTTATGTGTTTAATGTTCTTTATTAACTAAATCTTGCTGGCATGTTGCGCGCCTCTTCTAATTTCACTTGTTTAAGCTCAGAATAAGAAAGTTTGAATTTATAATTAACTAATATGGTGACAGCAATCAGATTTACATAGAACATTTACAAGGTTTAGTTCTTATAATTAATGGTAGTATATAGGTTCGCCTGTCGCCCGGTTTACACTCTTCCCCAATTTTTTTTGAATAGGAGTAGATGTTTATCTATTCTTTCCTTTTTAAGATTGGTTTTCCCGTTCCTTCTAAAATATTCTCATTCTCTTTCACTCTCAGTAACCACTTGCATCTTAGTGTAATTATTGCCTTGCTTGGGGTAAAATGCTTAAAAAAATCTAATAAAGTATAAATATTAAAATTCCGATTGATGAAGGGATTTTGGACTATTGAAATATTGAGCTCTGAGACATTGTATGTAAGACTGTTAATATGTGTCCATCGTGGGTGATTTAGACTCGGGTTTGAATCTCACTATGGTTACGTTGTCAGGAAAATTCGTTTGGTCTGGGGAGGCACCTTTGGAAAGTGCCTGAAAATTGATCCCAGCCTTGTGAGTGTAATGGGGTAGTCCGAACTGTTCGGAAACCGTCGATAGTGCTATCACGTAGTCAAAAATCATCGTGACCGAGGCGATGAAGGTACTGGCTTTGTTCAAACAGTATAAACCACAGGTGGGATCTGAAGGTGTTGAACAAAAAGAAGTGTGTCTGGACCGTGAGTGAATCAGGGTTTAGTTAGTTACCTTAACAGAGCGGTGAGTTCGGAGAAACAGCCATTATCTATCTATCTATCTATCTATCTATCTATCTATCTATCTATCTATCTCATTCTGTTCATCTATCTATCTATCTATCTATCTATCTATCTATTCATCTCTTAAAATCTTCACATCTAGGTAATGAGAATTTATCTATCTAAGTTTTGTTATCTCTTTCATGCATCTATCAGTGAACAACTTCACAAATATGACTAGTGTTGATCTCAGTCACTATTTATCAGTAACGAGCTATGACTGACTGAAAGAATGCGATTTTAACACATCTAAATCTGTTATCTATCTCAATAATTATTGTGATACACGCTATAATCGATCATATTTATTCCGACGAGGCAGATTTTTTTCCGCAGTAGGTTACCATTTCTTTCTATCCATTTCTTTCATCTTTCATCCTAGGCTATAGAACCCAGTCTGTCCTCTATTTAACCATATCTGGGGGGGGAGAAGAAGAGGATTCAGACCTTTCTATCTATATTATCTATCTATCTATCTAAGGAATCTAATGGATTCAAATCTATCTATCATCTCCGATTCTAGCCAATCCTAGCTATCTATCCATTATCTATCTATCCGTGCCTCTTTTCAACACATGCGAGTCTCAATTAATCTATGAAAAAATCTACTTATCGACAATCGAGATAAAGACTGGTATGACATCGATCTATCTCGACAAACGTCTCGACCATCTTTTCTCTCTTGAATTGTCGCATTTTTTAAGAGAGCAATGACTTAATCTGTGTCCACTTAACGACGGTTTACGTGTCTACTTCATAATTTACTATTTGAAACCCAACGGTCGCCTCTATTGTAATACGTATTATTCACCCAAAGCTTTATTCGGCTGGATGTGTTTCCAGATGTCCCTTCGAAAAACATTGTATTATGATAGAAAGTCTTATACACATTTTAGGATCAGTTTAGATCGATGTCAGCTTTCCATATATTGTGACCATAGATAAAGAATAGATGTTTTTTTTTTCAAATGTTTGTTTGCCTGTGTATATATTTTGCTATCATTTTCTCGTTTAAGCGGTTTTATATTAAAGATCAGAGAAATCGTTTCATTTAATATTTTATAACTTTGTTCATTCAAGATAACAGGTGTTTGGCTCTTGTTCTATCGTCTTTGAACATTGGTCATTTTCAAAAATAGGAATTCTCTCATGTTTTTGACATTCACAAAGACTTCAGCACATTTTTGATACTACTTAAAGAGACTGGTCCACTCATAAAAATAGAGAAGTAATTTTCACTGGATAATTGCAGATAAGCCTTCTTTAGAACTTCATCAAACCGAGAAATTTTTCAGAATCGAAAAATATTAATTTTCTATCAATTTAGAAAGGGAGTCTTGTTTATCATACCGATACAATATTAAATCGATCCCTGAATTTTAAAGAGTTATCTGCACTTAGTTTTCATTTACAAATGTTTTGCCTTGAAAGCGTGCTTACGTCATCGATATCTGCATATTTTTTATACATTTGTTAATTGATATAAATTTTGTTTCCTTATTTAAATCTAGACAACTGTTTGTCATAAAAAAAAACAAGAAAACATTTCTTGTAAAAAAATGAAAATAAAAATCTCTTCCGTCAAAGAATTTCTTGTTTAAAATATTTTCTTAAAATAAAACACCTAAAACTGTATATATCCGTTTGTTTTTTGTTGTTTTTTTAAAAATAAATCAATTTGTTATAAGGGGAGAGAACTATGGAAGAAAGATTTATTCTCGCATTTGTATTTCCCCTATTATGGGCATTATTATATCTATGATATAATGACCCCGTATTTCATGGACGGAACGAAATGGTTGTAAAGAAAAGGAATGAAAAACGTGCTTTGTTCTCAGAGAGACTTTTATACCACTAATACGTACACAAAAAAAATATATAAACGTGTCCTACGCAGAGAGAAATGTATCACATATATCTACACGGGAAAGCAGTGTAAGGAGAAACAAAAATGAAGGGTCTTAGATATTAGATATAATATAGAAATTCGTCTTTGTAGAAGCCATGATTATGACGACGGATTCAAACGGGCCGGATTCATCTACTTTGTTCCAGGCAGGGAGATATGCCATGAATTGGAGCATAGATAAAGTTTTTTTTTTTATACTTGGGTAAGATATATTTTTCTCAGCGGTTTTATGAAACGGGGCCATTTATAACTTTGTTCATTCAAGATAACTGGTGTTTGGCTCTTATTATCGTCTTTGGATGTCATTTTCAAAGCAGATTTAGTCTCAGCTTTTGACCCAGTTTGCATTTTTTAAACTGAATGATTAAAAATTTATCAATTTTATGAATTGATGTCACTTAGCAACTTCGTCAAACCGCGAAATTTTTCAGAATATGAAAAATTAATTTTTCCGCCAAAGGGAGATAATCGCCTTATTGTATCCCTACGTTGTAAAAATAAAATTTACACTATTTACATTGTTCGGACTGTTATCCTCATTTTTGCTACCATATTCACGACGTTTCGGCCGTTGTACACTCCGGCCTTCTTCAGGTGATTCGAATTTCGAAATGAACCGTTTATTTCGTTCACCGAATTAGATTGTTCTAGTTTCACATACCACCTGAAGAAGGTCGGACTGTATACATCCGTTTGAAAGGTTGTGAATATCAAATAAATCAAAGATGAGGACAGAAACCGAAGAAAAAGAATAGTGTAAATAATTATAATGCCCTTGTATTTCAGACGGAAAATATGGACAGAAAAGTGGGTTTTCGTAAGCAGATATCAATAAACGTAAGAACAATTTCAAACATGACATTTGTAAACAAAACAGCTTCTTCCCAGTAACTGTGTAAATGTCATAGATCGATTTTACATATTATGACCAGACCCCAATCTTTAAATAAAAAAATCAACGGTTTTTGATTCTGGCACATGTCATAATTTAAGGAACCGTCCTGGGTAAGACAATAAACTACATCCGCGTCCTGGGTAAGACGAATGAAGTTTATTACATCCGAATTAGCCCTGGGTCAGACAATAAACTACATCCACGTCCGGACGGGTAAGACAATAAAGATAGGGACATCTGCGCCCTGGTTAAGACAATAGTGTACATCCGCGCCCTGGGTCAGACAATAAACAGACATCCACGTTCTGGGTAAGACAATAAGCTACATCCGCGCCCTGGGTCAGACAATAAACTACATCCACGTCCTGGGTAAGACAATAAACTACATCCGCGCCCTGGTTAAGACAATAAGCTACATCCGCGCCCTGGGTCAGACAATAAACTACATCCACGTTCTGGGTAAGACAATAAGCTACATCCGCGTCCTGGGTAAGACAATATGCTACATCCACGTCCTGGGTAAGACAATAAACTACATTCGCGCCCTGGGTAAGACAATAAGCTATATCCGCGCCCTGGGTAAGACAATAAACTACATCCACGTCCTGGGTTACACAGTAAACTACATCCGCGTCATGGGTAAGACAGTAAACTACGTTCAACAGCAAGGCCTCTGATCGGAAGCTGTTGAGGAGCGTGGAACCCTTTTAATTGCTGGCGTTCCCAGGTTCACCCGGGCTGGTAGCACCTGTTAGAGTCCCAGCTATGGGCAAATAGTTGACACCCAAACTTGTGTAAAAATAGGTTTTAATACCAGAAATACTTTGTAATAATAATAAAAATATTACCATCAATCATTTTTAAAGGAAAAATTATTATCAGCAATACTTTAAATGCAAAAAGTACCAGCAATACAAACAGCTATAGATTCTTTCAAAAAAAAATATTACCAGCTATAGATTTTTTAAAGAAAAAATATTCCCAGAAATAGATTTTTGAAAGAAAACATTACCAGCAATAAAAATTTGCATTAAAAACCCCATTGACGTTGATATGTCGTAAAACAAACAAACCAAATAATTTAAGGACGCTTTAAAGAATGTTAATCAACAAAAAAGATTTCCAAATGTTTTCCCTATTTTTACAAGTGGACCAATATATTTAAGTAGTTCCCTTTTGTGCTACTATCATGATGTATGGGGTTGAGATAATTAAGAATAGACATTCCACTTTTTTTTACACTGGAAGCAAACATCCGTTTTCTTGTATAAACAAGAGAAAATCGATATAAAAATTGTTGAAACAAGCCTTTTTCAAGGAAAGACGATTGAAAGTTCAGAAATAACCTGTATTTGCCACGTGACGCTAAATTCTCTTTCGTAGTCATAACACGTGAATTAACGTTTATTTCAAACTTGAAACTGACATCAATACAAGCCCCATACAAAACACATAGACCGTAGAAACAAATTTGGACAACACTATATCGCATCTACGTGAATAAATTGTTATTTTATTTGTTAATGTTGGCTCTTTGACCTTCAATAACCTTATAATGATTTATTTAGATAACTTTTGTACGGTTTCGATTTTACGAGTCCTTGAAAAACTTTTATTGCTCTCCAGGCATTTATGCTTGTATATTGTTTTTCATTGTTTCACACATAACTTATGAACTATACATTTTCTACTGGATTCATATTTAGAGAAAGTGATAGTCATTACATTAATTTTGATTCTTTGAAACATTTTTTTCGGTGGGAGTAGGTTGACAATAATCAGCTTTCCAGAAATGAAGCAATATTATCTTTCATGAATATACTTTAACTTGGGATCTGTGCTACAAAAATGGCTTGTCTAAGAAATTAAAATGCTATGCAATTATCTTAACACCGTCATCAATATCGAAGGATCCTGTAAGTTTTATAGTCTAACATACCGGCCATATTCCAAGATCCCTCTGTTGTCTTTTAAGTCATAATGGTTGCTTCAAAAGACACACCTACTAGCCTAATAATTAAGCTCATCCAATGTAGCTCTACTTTCATCATTAAAAATTTGTGAAATTCGCCTAAACAGCAATTATCATGTGGGGGAAAATGAAATAAAATTAAGAAATTAAATAATAATAATGAATAATAAAAAAAAATCCTATGATAACAGTAATAAAGGAACCGGAAGTTTTATTACTCTACTTGGCTTCGTCAAACGTACTTAGGTGGCGCTGGGAAAATCTATAAAAAGACATTTTTCTTCCTCTAACCCTCTTTCTCCCTTGCTGCAAGATGTAGCAAAACGTATAAATTATGTCCCCGCTGGAACACGTTCGTTTACCCGGCCCACTAACAACTGAACGCTCTCTTTCCACTTTCCGACGCATGGCGTTCGTATGTGTCATCCAAAAACTCCACCTTTTCGTTGGTCATACTGACCCTCTAACGATGAAGTATGCATAGGCTTTTCTTTGGTCATTTCAACTCTGCACAAGGCTGACTCGAACTGGACCATTTTAAGGATGTTTATCCTTACTTAACCTAACTTGTGGACCAAGTAAAAGAAAACGGGTATGCCTTTGTAACCGCCAGCGATGAAGTATGTATAAACTCTCCTTTGGTTAATAGTAATTTTATTGCGAATACACTGACTTGCATAATGAAATCTACCGTTATATATATAGAATAATGGTTACCGTATATGAAGCAAGTAGATCCTTGCTATAGCATTGATGTCTCAGCATAGGCTGAAATGTTTTGGAGAACTATTAAGGAAGTAATCTGTTTATTGTACAGAGAATATCTTAAAATGATAGAAATTGGGTTAAAAACGTCCGGTGGCAGGACGGCGTTGTCCAAGATATGAATCACATCAATATACTGCATTCCCAGGAAACAGGCAACAACTGGTTTCAAT